CACTTTGGCTTTCTATAGTGGGTTTCTGGCCTCTAGCCTTCTCATCATAAAATAGGATTATCATCATAATATTTATAAATCATACGGTTCAGGAAAGATCTGTCCTTAATCAAAATAATTATTAAATGTCTCATAAACTTGTAGGCCAAAGAAAACATTCAACATTTTTATTAAATTTCTGCAAATCATTCAACGAGTTCAGGTTTTCATTTTTCACCCCCAATTTTAAAATAAAGTAGTTGTAGGCTTGTCAAGAATGGTAAGAACTGGATCCTGACAGGAATGGTAGAAACAGAAACAAGCATAGCTTTTCTGGAGAGCCAGTTGGCAGAACAACAGACAGTTCTCTGAAATATGCAGATTTACATCTTCGCCCTCAAATATAAAACTGAATCAGCGTTCAAAGGCATGTGTTCAGAGACATTCATCATTATGTTGTTCATGAGGATAACAGGAGGCAGGCACACAGCTCAGACATTTAATATAGGGACAGTTCAATTGTATGTTCAATGTGGAACTGTGTGTGGCTATTAGTGTAATGATGGCATTAATAGGAATTAGTGGACTTGGAAAGAAGTTCACAGTGTTCTAGCATTTATAATGTCTCATGCTGCTTTTCTCTAAGCATTGGCAGTCAAGGGTGGTAATTGTGATCACTTGTAAAAACCTTGACATTCATAGCATGCTACTGTTGAATGCTGGCTGTATGCTGAGCTTTGCTCAAATGTTATCTCAGTGAACTTTCATTCTAGCCTTACTGAGGAGGCACAGTTTGGAGTATTATTTTGTAGATGAGAAGCCCACTCTTTTACATAATAGCAGATAGAAGGCCTTTTACTGAGCAACATATGTAAGGCCTTATACTGAGGGATAGCAGGGACAGCATTCATACCCAAAAATTTATCTCTAGAGACTATATCCTCAAAGTTTACAGAGAAGGACTCCAGCTTCTTCATATCCTAGAAGAATGCCATAAAAGGTATATCGGGGAAATCTCTTTCATATGCTTTCCTGTAACTGTACCTTTTGAGTACTTGGTCTCTGCAAGTGACAGGGAAGAGGTGAGTTAATATTTAATAAAAACACAAGTCAGCACATAATAGCTCATGAGCCAAAGCTAGTCTGATGGTGGACTTTGTAAGTCATGTTTTATCTCAGCAGCACTGTGGTTCATTATTATATATTGTTGCTTGCTGCCTTTGTACCTTATCGACAGAAATGACTAGTTCCAATAAAGATTGTGTGGCATAGAGGCTAACATTGTTAGTATCAGGCCCTTCAGAAAAAAAATGCCGATGCCTGCTGTAATACATTAGAAGTCTGGAAGGATGTCGGTCCGGTCTCAGTGGTTGTCTCTGTTTAAGAGCTCATGTTCTGCAGTAGGTACAGGCCAGCAGTGTATAGAGAGTTGGTGAGAGTTTACTGAGAACATGAACCAGCAGCTTATTTCAGAACTTCTGAGCCCCTCTGTGCATGGCTGGCTGGCATTCTCTAACTGGGCCTTCTGTGTTGCCCTGACACTCAGACTGTTGCTGCTCCTCTGAGATGGAATGTGTATTCACAAGTGAGGGCTCCATTAGTCACGGTGAATTTCCTGGGCCCTGGAGACATGGCCATGACATCACCAAGAGCCAATGAGAAAGGAGCCTCTATAGTCCTTCAATCCTCTTTGGAAGACTAGACCAAGTGTTCTGTTCCTAGCCCTCAGGGTGTGATTTGAAACTGCCTTCCTCATCCAGCCATATTCTGGGCACAGAAGTCTAGCTTCCAGACCCAAGAGGCAAGGACAAGCTTGAAAATTCGCAGAGCTGGAGGCAGATTCCTGTTGAACATTTTTTTCCATGGCTCAGATTTTTTCTTCCCAGAGTTTTCCACTCCAAATGACGTTGTTGCTTTCTGTGGCAAAGGATGGGTGGTGAAGGGTGAAGTCTGCCTTAGATAAAAGATGGCTGGCAGTTAAAATTTCTGGATAAGTATAGGTTGGTAGCATAACAAAATCAGAAGTATAGTTTGCCGTTTTGTTACACTGCTTCTCTGTATACTTTAACAGCTTTTAACAGCAACTCCTCCTAGCAAAATTAGCATGGCTTAAAAACAGGGCAGTTACCCAAGCAAGGATCTTTGTAATGAGTGTTAGTACCTCATTAAATCTTTTAACTTCAAGAAGAAAAGATCCACCACTCTCACTTCTTTTTGGGGGGGAGGTTTAAATATTTTAGATTTACCAGTCTCTTTCTTCTCTTTCTCTTCTCTCTTTTCCTTTTTTTCCCATTTTTCCTCTCAATTTATGAAAATGATTTGTAGAATTCAGTTTTAGAGGTAACTTTCCTAATCCTGTGTTCAAGAACATCTGTTCAAATATGTATTTCTAATTGGCTCAGTCTCTTATTACTAAGCTATAATAGTAAAAACACCTTTAAGTTTTATTCAAGGTCCATACTTGAAATCCTAGCACTTCTAAGGGCAAGGCAGAAGAATCTCAGATTCAAGATCTGCCTGAACAAGATCTTGCCTCAAAAAAAAAAAAAATACATTAATTCTGGAAATTGAGACTTAGTGTGTGAGCCAGGTGTGGTGCTTGTACCTACAATACTCAAGAGTATTTCAGAGAAGTAACAAATGTTCCCTGCCAGTCTAAGATGTAGACTGAAATCTTTCCTTCAAACCAACCCAAACCAAACATAACCAATCCCCAAAATAACCCTAGCAAACAAAACCAGAAAAAAAAAATCTTTAAGTGGACTCATGCAAATAGAATTTTATAGTTTAATTCAGTATATGAAACCAAAAATTGTGCCTTCCACCCTTCATGAGAAATGTATCTAATACCTTTTCATATTTTTATAAAATCAAAGAGAGATTGGCAGAGTAGCCTTCATTATTAGTTTATCTGCAATTACTGAACATTGTATCTATCCTGTTAAAAATTTTTCCTTGTTCCTGCAAGATGAATATAGTAATAATACTCTATAACTATAGAGAAGTTTTATTTTACAAGCGTCTTGAAAGCACAGGAATTTATCCTTATTTTCTGAAAACATTTATGCTAGTAACTAAGAGATGCATCCTCTAGAATCATGTAGAAGTCCTGCAGAAGGGGCATTTTTTTTTAAAGGTGCTATCAAGTTCTTCCCTTTAAAATCTCTATGTCGAGACCTAGAGAGATGGCTGAATGGTTCTGTGCACTGGCTGCTCTTCTAGAGTACCTGTATTTGATATCCAGAACTACGTGGTGGTTCACAACCATCTGTAATTCCAGTTCCAGGAAATCTGACACTTCTTTCTAGCCTATATGGGTGCCAGGTATTCATGTAGTACACATACATGCATACAGGCAAAACACTCATACACATAAATTAAAAATTAGAAATTAAAAATCTGTGCATTTCAAAGAACCACTCATTAAATTTTCAAATACCTGCAATATATTCTAAATTATTTTAGTTTTTAGGTGAGGAAACTGAAGTACACAAAGCTTGAAGCTTCTATCAGATGTCATTCACAGTAGATACTAAATGGAAAAATCTCTTTGTTTCATCAAAGCCCTTAAGAGACTAGCCCTCTGTGTAACTCCCTGTTCTGTTCCTGTTTTCTGTTGATACATTAAAGCTTTGCCTATGAACAAAATGCTCATTTTCATATTCTTCTGATTGGAACAAAACATCAGGTTAATGTAGCGTAGGCAGAGGTGGGACAAGCCTGGTGTACAGTGACTATTCTGTGTGGTGGCCTTGCTCTGTGAGCTCCCCTGTGGCCTTGTTCTTAACAGGGTATACAGTCTCCTCACCCACACACCAGTTCTCCCACCTGAACTAATATTTGCCACCTCTTTACTCAGATGGTTGTCATGACTACTGATGACTTGATGTTGATAGTGTGCTTCAGGGCTTTTGGAATAAAGGTCTTGCAGAAGTGCAGAGTCAGCACTGGCCCCTGAGTGATCACCGGGTGCTTGCCAATCAAGTTAACTGCACCCCTGACGTTGGTGAGACTAAGCCATAGGAGAAACTCTGCCTTGAGAGAACACATCTGGTTTGGATGCTGAAAGCCAGATGAATCTTAACAACCATGAATACAGGTCTCCTTGATACTTCTGTTTTCTACAGATCTGGGATGCAGCAGATTCCTCACTCAGAAAACTTTTCTCAGCGGATGAGCCTGCTCTGTTGATCATTTCATTGAGCCCTAAACCTTTCCTGCAGAAGAAAAATTCTCAAAAGTCGATTCCAGAATATGGCAGTGAGAGGTCATGGCAGACAATCAGATGAGTTTATGAAAAGCTAAAAAGGGGCTATGTCACTTGTAAAGGGGCTGGCATCGATTTATTACAGAAACCAAGTGCAGGAGGAAGAAAAGCCTTTAGTCTCATTAAGGAATCCAGACAAAAATCCCACTTAATCTGTCTTGCTTTTCCTTTTCCTGCAGTTCAGCTGCCGTGCAGGTGCAGGGCAGCCTGGCAGAAGCTTTGAACGTTTGGAAAAAGGAGTCATTACTGAAAGTCACTGACACACACTTCCCTCGGAATGCTGCTGATGTCATGGAAAACCAGGACCTTAGCAGTAACCCTTAACAACCAGAGCTATGGTAAACACTGAGTGTTACCTCCACCAAGGCATTGGTTTTTAAAGACCTTTAACAGTCTAGGGCTTGCCAGCCACAACTCATAAAAACGTTCTTATAATTTTACCCTCCTTACTAAAAGCCTGGACAACTGCTAAGGTTTCTTTGCCACTCGGGGCTCCAGAGCCAGATTCACGTCAGTTCCAAGGTTCACTAATCAGATTTTATAGCACTTCTTTTCCAGTTCTCTTCGTACCCCCTGCCATGCTCATGGGGCTCAGTCTTGGCAGAATTACTGTTTCTTCAAAGAAGTCCCTTGTCTTACTGTGTTGCCTCAGTTTCTGGTGGTGTGGTGAACTGGTGTGCAGGGTTTTGCCTAATGTTTTGATAGACTAGTGGTTAGTTAACTCAGTCTGTTAATTGGTAGCCTTCATTTACAGGCTACATTTCAACTGATCTGAGACATTTGAACAAAGTGACATCTCATCATTCAAACTCTAACGGGGTACAGAACAAGAAAACAGCATGGCCTGCTGTGGAGAACTGTTCAGAGTGGCAAACGACATTGAGATGAGAAGTCATTTTCTCCCAGGGTCCGTGAAATAGCATTATCTGAACCAGTTTGACTTTCTGCTTATTTACACAGTGGGAAGAGGCAGGAACCTTGTATTGCTTTTAAACAGTATCTTCAAGTTGACCATAAATTTGACCACCTAATTGGGATATTTTTGAAGACTAAGGGACTCTTTTAATAGATACCCTGTTTTAAAAACGCCTTGAGACTTCCCAAAGCAAATAAGGCATATGGTCACCCTCATCATTGTGCTAAACTCCATTCATCCCAAGCCTTTTGAGAAGGCCGTGTTCTCAGTGCTAGAGAGCAGACCATTCAGCTTCCCTGCCTACAAAGATAAGTCCAGTCTTAGAAGCTCAAGTCCAAGTCATGAACTCGGTCTAAGTTCAAGCTGTAAGTAAGTCTGAATCCACACTATAATTTGCCTGGTTTTGAACACTCACTTCTATTGTTAGGGGAACCGTGGTTCCTAACATGTGATCTTGGGTCCCTGGAGACCACTGAGATCTTCTCAGGAGACCTGTGAGGCCAAGCAGTGTTCAGCATTGCCAGAAGACATCATCTGCCTTTTCCATTCCTTCTCTCTTACTGATGTATATACCTTTGTGCCAAAGCTGATCTCAGAAGCCAGCTGTCAATGACCAGGTCATTACTTCAGCAGATTTGTAAGGATGGAAATGATGTTACTCTTTCACTAAATCTTGTTTTAATAGATAGTTTTCCTTGATAAAAAATGTGTTATCTGTATCAGATTGTTATGAGGTTATTTTATCTTATGATTTTAGCAAAATAAGTCATCAGTTATGGGTTCTTATATGCTAAACACAGTCCTTAGGAATAAAATCTTTGTAGGGCTCCAGCAATTTCCACAAAGTTTAAGAACCATGACTCTAGACCTTTGTTTCTCCCCAGGAAGGAATTTAAAGATAAAATAAATTCCTTAATAAGAAAGACCAGCCACTCATCACTGTATCATCCACAATGTCTTGTGTATGGCTTATACTGTCTTATAAATATGGTTAGGCCAAGCTTCTGTGACAACTCTGACGTTTCCATGTTCTCTGACATTTAGATGTTACATTCACTCACATCTTTATGCTCTTGACTTGTATGTGTTTGTGCATATAAATGCATTTGTACACGTTTGCATGTGAATACTGAAACCAGAGGTTGGCACTGAATATTTTCTTTGATCACTTTTTATCTTATATTTTGAGAGAGAGTCTCCCACTAACCCTGGCACTTACCAATTATTTCGACTGACTGGCCACTGAGCTCTGGGAATCCACTTGTCTCTGACCCCACAGTGTTGTGGTTACAAACATGCCCACCACCCATGGTATCCTTATGTGGGTTCTGGAGATCCAAACTCAGGTCTTCATGCTGCAGGCACTTTACTAACTGAACCATCTCCCCAACCCCCATCAATCTTCTGGGATTTAATATTATGGTACTCCTGATAGTCTTATTTTCATGTTAACAATAATGTCATTTTCCCTTCAAAACATTTATGGAGTATATCAAATTCTCATGCACAGTAAAGTACAGTAGATTGAAACACTATGAAGCTTATAGAAATGGAGTTCTTTTTGTGTGTGTGGCACCTGGGGATGGATGCTGGGGTCTTCTTGCTTAGCTCAGCATGTGCTGTCCCGCAGTCCAGGAAGGCTTGCTGCTATCATCTGTTTTAACCTGGCTCATTCTGTTCCCCTTCATTTTAAGTATCACCTTCAGTTCTCCTTTCAGGACCAAAGAAGCCATGCTGATCCAGGGGCCACCCACTGTGTTTCATAGCGCCCTTTATTGCTTGCTGTGCATACTGATTTGACTTGGCCTACTCACATTTTAGTGTTCCTCAGTTAATTTCAAGTGCCTTTATGTCAGAAGAGAAACATTATTCTACTTTTCCCACATGTGAATACAGCTGTTCTTCTTTCTCTGCAGAAGATATTTTTCAAGCTGTGGCTTGGGTGCCAGAAACCAGTGACAATAATAACCTTATATGTTGTTTTTATGTTCATATATATATATATATATATATATATATATACACACACACACACACACACATATGTATATACATATACACACATATATATTCATGATAAGAAGAATCTGCTATAGTACATAATAAATGTAATAAATGTATTAAAAAACATTTAAATTTAAATATACAGGAAGATGGAGAACTTGAGTAATTTATCGATTCTACTAAAGTGTTATATGCCATATAACATGGATTCTATGGTTCTGAAAAAATAGTTTGCTTTGGTAGTAAAGGGAATCAGATTTAGAAAGAAGGCAACTTTTATTTTGTATTTTGTTTTTCCATGTATATGTATATATGTTCACACGTGTGGGGGTACACATGTGTGTAGGTATTTGTGCACATGTGTGCCCATAGAGTCCAGAGGTTGACATCAAATGTCTTTCTCTGTTGCTCTCCAGTTTATTTACTGAGATAAGGTTTCTCTCTGAATCAGAGCTCACTGACTTGATTGGTCTTGGCAGCCAGCTTGCTCCAGGGATGCCCTGTCTCTGTGTGCTGGGATCACAGGTGGACTGATACACCTGGCCAGCTTTTAGGATGGTGCTAGAGACCCAGACTCCATCCTCACACTCACTTAATCTACTGACCCATCTTCCCAGCCCCTCCTTTGATTTTTAAAATTGTTCTGTAAGTTGGAAATTCTATGTTTTTAATACCAACTGTGCTGAAAAAGTTGTATGTCAACTTGACACAAGCTAAAGTCAGTGGAGAGGGGGAAACCTCAATTGAGAAAATGCCTCCACAAGATCAGACTACACACGAGTCTGTAAGGCATTTTCTTATGGGGGAGTGCCATCCCTGGGCTGATGGTCCTGGGTTCTATAAGAAAGCAGCCTAAGTAAGCCATGACGCACAACCTTGTAAGCAACACCCCTTCATGGCCTCTGCATCAGCTCCTGCCTCCAGGTTCCTGCCCTGCTTGAGTTCCTGTCCTGTTTGAGTTCCTGTCCTGACTTCCTTTGATGATGAACAGTATTGTGGAAGTGTTAGCCCCAAAAACCCTTTCCTCCCCATATTACTTTGGTCATAGTGTTTCGTCACTAAGACACCTACTTATTTTTAAACGTTTCCAAGGCTTGAAATTAACCTGCTACTTTTAACTCAACAGGGAAAGCCAAAGCCATAGTTTATTTGAATGGCAACTTTATCGTCATGTGATTGATACTTACAAATGACAAATGAGACTCAAAATCTAAGTTTTATTGTGACATCTTTTAGTTACAAGCATTTTGCTTGGTTTTTGGTTCATTGCTTTCTAGTATTGTTAAATTATATACGTCTCTGGGTTGGTTTGTTCCTTCTGGGGGAGGTAGCAGACATTTTGAATAATTACTTGGCAAATTGAAGATGCTGAGATGCGTTCTTGCTCAGAACTTAGAGAATGAGAACAAGAGAGGACATCATTGTTACCAAATTGGTGTGACCAAGGAGGATGGGGGTAGATACTCTTGTCTAAAATGAAGCCTTGAAGAGAACAGATGTTTGTGGACAGGGCTCTGGCTCCCCAAGTGGGAAAGAACGGGGTACTTGTCTACACTTTGCTGCTCTTAATAGTTAGTGTGGTGTTAGCAAGTCCCTCTGTTCCTCTTAAATTCTGTTAGTTTGCCCATTTCAAGGCCTGGTTGAATACTCTCTAATGTCTCTTACAGAGAAAGCTTCTCCTATTGTTTGCTTTGTGTTATGCCATGGGTTCACACTCTCCAAGTCCATGCTTGACAGATAATGGTGTGTGAGGAAATGATGCACAGTGCAGCCCTGAGAAACCCAAGTGCATTCTGACCACACTGATGTGCTAATCCCCAAAGAAGAAGAAAATACAAAATGGGCCAGGGATTGAACATGAAAATGGTGACAGTGAGAAAAACATTGAAACAGACAGCTGAAAGCTTCATTTCCTGGCCTGTCTGCCATGAGAAACGCCAAGCCTGCCAAATCCTCCAGGCCGTCAAGGCCCCAAAACTTTGGCTAGCTCTCATTTTCAGCTTCCCACACCACATGCCCAAACCACACAGGAAAATTGTCTCTCTCTCTTCATACTGTGCCTTTTGCCTACACGTCTGTTTATGCCAAGCCCTTGCCTAACCCCCTTCCTTCCAGCTGTCACTATGTCCCAGCTGCTGCTTTCTGGGGGCTTCAGGGTGCAGCTGCAGTCTTCAGGGGAGGCACAGGCTGGTGAGGACAGTGGCCGGGTGTTGGTAGTATATACAGACTCTGGAACTGCAGCTATTTCTACCCGGTTTCTAGCTGATCTGAACAGCACTCTCGCTCCTTGGCAAATGTTAGCACTGATGGCTTTAATTTTTCCCCCTCTCCCTCCCTCTTGGGGCGTTCCCCCCGCCCCTTGCACATTCTTTGGCATTATGGTCTGTGAACATCCTGTGGAAGATTTGGTTTGTCTTATTTTCTCTTGCCAGACCGTTCATCATCTTCTTCTTCCACGTAAAACATGTTTATCTATTGCGAGACTTGAAGACTGATAACCAGAGCTGCTGGCCTCTCACAAGTTTAGAATTTTGACTCTGTCTCAGCTTTGACAGTCCATCCCAAGCCACATGGCCTCCCAAGGCCCTGTGCTCTCTAGGCCATTTGTTGTCTGTCCAGCCCCAGCTGCTGTGGGAGCCTTTTTACCTCTGGTCTGTGAAATTCTTCTATGGAGTCTGTCTGTGTCTACCTCCTATTGGCTCTTAGTGATGGCCTCTAAGCAAAGAGGCATTTTCCCGTCCCTTTAGATAATCCAGGAAGAATCAGGAAATGTGTCAGAAGAGTCTTGGCTGAATACACGGAGAAGCTGTGTGTTATGAAAGTTTTAAATTGTTCTGCTGTGCTTGGCCTGCGTCTGCTGGCTCGGTGTGGAAGGCATAACCAAACAAAAGCCCCACACAGTCATTGTCTCCCATAGCAGGGCATTGTCTTTTGTTGATTAATAGAGCTTTTGCAGAGACAATGGATTGTTCTTCTATGCCACTCTTTCTGGAACCTCCATGAGCCTTTCATGGAACCTGCCAACTCCAACCCACGCTTGTTTCTAAGGGGGAATTCCACAAAGTTTTCAGAATCTCATTCAATGAAAAACAAACTCAGAGTATGTTTGTACTTGGGTTTCTCTGATGTTTCCTCATATCTCTGTATATTTTGTATTTTACTTAAATAGTCAAAATATTGCTTGATGCTCAGTTGAAAAAGACTAGTGTGGTTGGTAAAATCTCCAGTGTAGGTTTCATTTACTTGTGATGTATTCCGTAATGTCTTCTTTTTTTTTTTTTGGTTTTTCGAGACAGGGTTTCTCTGTGTAGCCCTGGCTGTCCTGGAACTCACTCTGTAGACCAGGCTGGCCTCGAACTCAGAAATCCGCCTGCCTCTGCCTCCCAAGTGCTGGGATTAAAGGCGTGCGCCACCAACGCCCGGCGTAATGTCTTCTTAATCATTGGTAATATTGGCCTACAAAGCCCCTTTTCTTTCATGTCTGCCTGTCCAGTTGGTTTTGCTATATTGTGTCTTGCACCCAATTAAACTTTCTCCTTTCCCCCATCCCATAGTTTTGCATGGTGTATAATGCAGAGACACATAGATGGCAGGCTATCAAGGGCTTTTAGATCTTAGCTATCTGAACTCCTCATTTCATGGATGAGAAAAAGAAAGAAAAGAAACAGAGAGATGAGTTAAGTTCACACACTTGCCAGAGGCTAAGTTTGTAAGCTTCATGGCCATCATGCTCAAAGGCTTCCCTGCTATACCATCAGGTCTAATGTGT